TAATGGTATTTTAAACCCTTTATTACCTCCTTTACCAGTAAAAACCAGGTGGAATTCATGGTTTAATTTTGTGTTTTGGTTAAATAATCACTTTAATTTTTTTATTGAATTTTATCAAGAAGAAAAAAAAAATAGAAATAGTAATTCTTCTATTTTGGATCTTGTTGAGATTTTTAAAGATAGTAATAATCTTTTTTTTCTTCAATATATTATGCATTTTATTACTTTTAATATGCAACAGTAAGTAGTTTCTTTTATTTATTATTAATTTTAATTTAATTATTTAATTACTGATAATATTTTTTATTAATTAATAGATTAGTAAATGATATTGAATTTTTTAAAATTCGTGATAAACCTTTAGCACCATTTCTTGCAACAAGATTAGAATTAACAAGAGCAAGATTATTTTCTGGAGTTGAAATTCCACCTAAATCAAATGAGATGATAAAACTTTGTGAAGATTTTAATCTTGATTCTACAATTCACAATTCCTTTTTTAAAGAAGCATTTCAACTTGCTTTAGCTAAATTTGATAAACATTTTAATAATAACTCTGCAATTTCAATTTTTACTGCTACTAGATGTTTTGATCCACGCTTTATTCAATTACAACCACACCATCACAATATATTACTCTATAAAGATATTGAAGAGTTTAAACATCCTGCAAATGAATTAATTACAGAATGGGGAATTTATTGTGGTTTGAATGAATTATTCGAAGAAGATTTTGATTTGAATAATTATTGGCAAGAAAAACATGAAGTTTTGCCGAATTTATCTAAATTAGCATTAATTTATATTTGGTTGCCAATCTCTGGTGTAGATGTCGAACGTAGCTTTTCGGCATATAATAGAATTTTAGCTGATAACAGACAAAATTTGTCTGAAAATTCGATTGGCATGTTAAATTTTTTAAATTTTAACAAATAAATAAAAACTATTGGTTGTTTTAAAAAAAAAACGCATAATTTATGATTATTTCGCATAATTTTGAGAGTATTCGCATCGGGGGCATAATTTGAACCAATCGCATCGCATAATTTGCATTTTATTTCGCATCGCACTGAGGTCCCTAAATGGTACGTACGGCATGATCGATACGTGACATGATCTGCAATTTCCGGCCCAAAACATCACGTGATATTCAGCATCAGCCGTCACAAGCGAAGCGTTAAAAACCCAAATTTTTGTTAACATTCTTTTTTTTTTTTAAAAAAAAAAAAAAATTATTTACGTACCAATATAATAAATATAATACGTATATTACTAAAGCATTAGATTAATAAAAACAAATTTGCATATTTTGGTTCTTTTTTATTTATTTTTTAATTTATCTTTTTTACTTGTTTTTTTTTGTTATTTTTTATTTTTATTTTATTTTATTTTTTTCATTTTTATTTATTTTATTTTATTGCTAGCTTCTTTTATTCATTTTGAAAACACTTATACATACGTATGTTTAAAAAAATCGATTTTACGTACGTATGTACGTAGCTAAATTTTTTTTTATGAATTTAAGAATATGATTGGATTTGATCACGTTGTACGGCAATTTTTCGTTTTATACGTATACTCTGGATTTTTTTCATTAAACAAAGTTTCTTAGTAATATAACAACAAAAATGACAGATTCTAGAGAAACAGAACAGGATCCATTACAACTCTTAAAGAAATTTATTACAAATAATTTAAAGCTTCAACTTCTCGATGAGAAGAATAACGTTGTTGATACTCTTCGGGATGCCACATATATACAGTTTGATTCTTTTGAACCAATTGATAAAAATAAACCTACACTCTTTAAAGGACAGTCACAAAAGGGTTATCCATTATCTATTCTTTATCATGCTACCATAACAAAGGATCTAGAATTCCCTAAATACAATGAAGATGCTACAAATAAAAAATTAACTGAGCGGTTAAATTTCACGGAAAGAAAACATTGGGTAGCCTATCTTAACGGCCATTCGGCTTTACTTAATGATTTAGATAAGAACATATATGGAAAAACTTCAGGTACTTAAACATAGAGAGATAATGATAATAAGTTTAGTTTTTCACTTATTTATTATACTTTATTTAATATAGAAAAGCGCAGACATGATAATTCAGCAGATAGTGATCATCAAAATGCGGTGGAAATAAAAAGACAGAAAAAGGCACGTTTTGATAGTGATAAAATTTGGATGGAAATTTATCAGAAAGAATATCAAGCTACTTCAAATTGGCCTTGGGAGGAATCATTAGAAAGTAAAGACAAAGAACAGGTAATAGATAAAATTTAATTTTTTTTGATAAAAAAAACTTTTAACATTTATATTTTTTTTATAATTTCAAGGACTACAGCGCATTTATCCAATTGGCAGATACTCACTTCCTTAAGAGAAACCATGCTTTAATTCCTCAAGACAAATGTAAGTCTATTATGATGCAATATACGACGAATCGACAAATTTACTTCAAGCTTGTTTTTTTATGATTTCTATTTACTTATTTATTATTATTATTATTATTATTATTATTATTATTTACTTATTTATTATTATTATTATTATTATTTTTTTTTTTTATAGCTCGCAATTTAGAATCTTATGCAAAAACGCATTATCGTCCTGATGTGAAACAAAGTAGTATCATAATTTATTAATCCTCATGGATTATAAATAAAAAAAAACACAATGTTATAATAGATATTTATGTTGCACTAAAGGTCAGAAACCACCTAGAAACCCACTGATTATTGTACCGCAATCTCCTTCTGCATTCATCACCATGTTCAATATTAAACAGTTATTACAAGATGCAAGGTATGAATGAACATATTATATTAAGAAAATAAAAATGGGATAACATTAAATATTGAGATAATTTTCATAAAATTTTATTTATAGATATGAAGATCAAGCCATTCTTCGTAATAGTAATAAAAAAGATAATACAGTTACAATTATTCGAAATGGAAAGGAATATGAGTTCACAGATCAAGTTGAAAATTTTCAACAAGCAGATTGGTTAGAATACAAAATTTTAATTAACGTATATATCGAATAATATATAACCTGTATAAAATTATATATAATTTCATTTTTTTAGGAATCGTGTTGTTTGCGTTATTACCGATGGAAGCGAGTGGTTATTTAAAAAATATTGCTGGAAAACACCTGAAGATACCTTCAAAAACGGTAAATTTTTATAAGATAATTTTGAATAATTTTTTTAAAGAAATTTATACTAACCTTTTGTCTGTTTACTGGTCATCGTAGTCCCAGGTGTATATTTTAAGTATACTCATGACGAAGTTAAAAAGAATGTTATTTTTTGGAGGAATATTTATTATATCAACGTATGTAGAATTCAAATTTTAAGAAATTTTTAAAATTCAAAAAAATACAAAAATATCGTATTAAAAATATGACCTATTTTTATTATTATTTTAGATTCATCAAAATTTACGTCATAAAGATGCTGAAGCTTATACTGAATTTTGGAACATTGTGGAGAAAGCTAGAAGATACTAGTGTTCTAAGCCGATGAAGCACATAATAAATATGATACGGAGAGCTTTTTAAAAATATTTTATTATAAGAACTATCCATATAATGAGAATAATTAGCCCGTTATAAAGAGTATGTAATAAAGTAGCACAGTACAAAAAACAAATTAGAATGGACGTTAGAAATAATGATTGTATTTATAAAGAGCTATTGTCCCCTATCATAACATGAAAAAAAGGACAATACTTAATAGCTTGGGACTTGAGACATTACAATAATATTTTTTGAACATTGTTACCAGAAATTTTGTATTTTAGTCATTTCACGTAATATCGAATTGCATTTATCATCAGAACATATAGTTTAGACAGAATTCCGGTTACTGAAGTGTTAATCAGGCATACATACATACAAGCATGTTAAGTTATAGTGTATTTATTTCATGCACAGTTAGTATGCCTGAAGCAAAAAAAACATCAAATTAGAGGAGAAAAAAATCTGTATTATTGTCATCATGAATGACTTTATTAAAAGGTCTTTTTTCGATGGCGAATTCTGGGTAGTGATTGGAGGTTTCAAGCTGAATTACTACAGTATAATCCAAACTTCAAAAGTGAAAAAGTGAAAAAGTGAATTCAATGCTACGGTTTTTATTGAAAAATATCCAAAGTATTTGTTTTGATATTCAATTGGACACGTTTTTTTACAAAAAGATAGTAGGTAGGTAATTGAATAATGCAGGTTTTTTTTTTTCTTTTTTTTTTCTTTTTTTTTTTTTTTTTTTTTATGTTATACCCGCTGACATTTATATCGCAGAAAAATGTAAGAAAAAAAAATAAAAAATATTATAATACTATGTGAGCGAAGTAAAAGTCCTCTATTCATTTACATATATTAGATCATAAAAAAAAAAAAAAAGTTATTAATTATTATTACTGTAGAAAAAAAAAAACCATCGACATAAACTAATCAACATTATTTATCGAAGTATCTGAAGTAGTTGAGGTAGGAGAGATGGAAGAGATAGGAGAGGTGGCTGAGTCAGTTCGGGCAGATCTAGCCGAATTAAATTCGGCTTGCAATTTTTTCAATTCACGATATGAAGGTGAATCAGTATAAGCAATTCCAGCTTTCATAGCAGCTGTAAATCCTAAGAATAAACCATTTACAACTTTTTCATGTACATTATATTGCGAATTAATATCCAATGCCATATTAATTCCAGTTCGAGAAATTTCCCATGCTTTATCTTGTATTCCAAAAGCCTCATCAATGACTTTCATTTTTCTCATTGTGTAATTAACCGTTGTTGATATAGCATCTGGAATTGGAGATTGTTTGAGTGCAACAGCCCCTGTAACAGCCGCTTGAATTAGTTGATCTGATATTTTTGCATTAGAAGGTTCGGTATCTTGCGAATCATTAGGTGAAATTGGTGTAGTTGCTTCGAATACTTCATCAGTTAATCCTGTACGATCCATAAAATCGAGTAATTTTGTTTTTAAAGCATTTCTTCGTGATTGATCTGCGTGAACTAATTAAATAAAAGTATTATAACAAAAATTGGTTAAATCATGTGATATTGTATACAGTAAGATCACATGTAGTGCTGTAGTGTTGCGGAAAAATAAATTTTCGAAATCCGAAACGTTTCATCAGAATCACCAAAGGTAGAAATATTTTCGGTATTTTAACCCGTAACAACATATTATAAATATTATTCAAAATCCGAAATATTTCAACAAATTAAAATAATTTCGTAAAAGGCGACATTTTTTTCGAATTTAGATCGCAACACTAATCATATGCAAAAAAAAAAAAGATATATACCTGGAAGTGCTTTGAGAATATGTTCTAACCCGAGTAAATAAAGCTCTAAAGCACAATCAGGATTTCCTTGATAGTCTTCTTCAACGGCATAAGCCGAGAAAGCAATAGCACGATCAATTTCTTTTCTATTCAATTTATTAGAAAGTTTTTTTCTTTGATGAAAATGAGGATTCGTTACAACAGTCATCGAATTTTGGTCTTTTTCATCAGTCTTGATGATAGGATTAGGTTTATCGTTTACATCGGGAGTAGAAATATTTTGAGAAGTATTTTCATTTTTTGGGTTACTAAAATAACTACCTAGCTGTAGTTTAGCTAAAGAAGGTGATATAAGTTGAGTAGAAAGACCCATTGGAATAGACAGTTAAAAAAGACCTTTTGGTATTCTTTGAACGTTATGGAAGTTATGGAGAGGAAAAAGGGGGATGAAAAAATTTTAAGGGAGAGAATTTAATAAAATTCAGGTTACCGAAAAGCTATTATTTGAGATTAATCAAAAAAAAAATAAATAAATATATATAAGGTTTTAAAAAGCTTATATTTATAAATAAAAAAATAAAGTAAAAATAAAATAAAGTTATTTGCATGTTAGATAATTGAGGGACCTACCATAACTGTCTACTTTATGAAAAATAATTCGCTAGAAGAAAAATGAATCATGTCATTAAAACGTGTCAGAGAAAAAATGATTAATTATTGTGGTAAACATTTACTTATGAGGATAGTAATTTTATTTTGGAGATCAAACATATGCTTCTTTAATTTGTCAGAGTCTCGTGCAGAAACCGTGGCGGAAGTTTTTATAGCACTAAAGTGGTGCAGTGTTACAATTAAAAAAATATTAATTTGGATTAGGATTGATTTGATGTTAACGGTGCATACCGTAAATGTGTACAAGGTTATGTCGATCACCGAATCGAAAAAACTTAAGTGCAAATTTTAATTTACTTTATATTCAATATTCAAGTGTACCCATATGCCTAAAATTTCGTGCTGAAAACTTTTGCTTAGAAGTCAAACTACGGTTATCATAGTAAAAGCTTGAGTTATTTACAATTTTTCTGTTTTCTTAGATAACTCAAAATTTTACTATGATAACCGTAGTTTGACTTCTAAGCAAAAGTTTTCAGCACGAACTTTTGCACTTAAGTTTTTTCGATTCGGTGATCGACATAACCTTGTACACATTTACGGTATGCGTTAACGGTAAAATATTACACTATTATAAATAAAAATTGAATTCTCTGACATTTTTTTCATTAGTGTCCCAAAATGGACTTAAACACCTTTTTATTTTTTTTTATTTTAATAGAGGTGATTAAAATTCACGATATGATTGGCTGATCAGCATGAAAATTGTACTGATCCCAAATTCGGGAAACATTTGATTTCATGCTGTAATTCGTTTAAAGGAAACTCAGCCTCATGAATGATTGTTCCTTCTATAAATTTTTACTGATTACGCACTAAATATTGGTCAGTGCGCATTTAATTACGTTACGAATTGATAACGATAAGGTTGAAATTTTTTTATGTGTATTCCAGAATAATCCTGAAGACTAATTTTGAAGTTTTTCGGCTCTTTTATATCGCTGTAAGTATTCAAATATAATAGTAAGTACGAAAAAACACTACTGTCAATACCATTCATTCATACGTTCATACATTCTATGTAAGTTATATTGTTTTATACGTAAGAAATAAAAAAAAATAATAAATAATTGTTAACTCAGTCATTCAATGAAATCTGTCTATGAAAGTTTAAAAAGAGGAAAGGCCAAATATAAATAAGTTTGTATATATACAGTATATTGATTATGTTATACGTAGGCGATTTTCATACATGTACGTACGTACGTACGTATGATTTGGTGATTTAATAATACTGTAATACGTGATTATTGACCATTCAAATAACAATGTACTGTATGGAAGAATTTTAAGTTCAAGAAGTTTATATTTTAAATAATAATTCTAGTTTAACTATTAATACGGGATATGGAATCTTGACCAGGCCAATTTGGCCGGTTCAAGAATTTTAATATCGGTCAAAATTGGTCAAATTGGTCGAATTGTATTTTTATATATATATAGTTGTATATTCTATGCATTCTATGCAATAAAATTATTTAATTAATACGTAGTTAATACCAATTTGACCAACCAATTTGTTCAAACTAATTTGACTACGTAACGATTTGACATCAAACAACTACTACATGCACTAAACCATGTTATGACTTAGCCATTTACTATAATTTTTGTAATATATCTTAATTAAATATACTAAATATACATTTTAAAAATTTTTAACAATTTAGTTTGTATGGTAATAATAATATGAAGTTTTCAAATTTTAGCTCAAAAAATATCCTCACGTGTTACGTTATATCTTATTTTTATATCATTTTATATACCAACGGTCTGTAGCATGTGTAACAGGGATAAATATGTGATAAGAAAGCGATTATGCAACATTTTAATTAGCCATTTATGAAAACCAGTCTGGACTGGTCTAAAGGCTAGATGGTGACAGGGCTGATTAAAAGATTGATCCGTATTCGATCTTTCCAAGACTGATCCACCTATAACCATCGGTATTTGTAATCAATAGTAGATGATTTGAGATTGCCCAATAAACCTGCAGTATTTTTGTTTCTCTGGTCATCAAGATTATGTGAATAAAAAAAAAAATTATTTAATGCTCATAATTTTTATTATACAATTCTTAAGGCATTTATAATGTGTATGATGTGCAAATGAATGATTTACTTATGAAATTCAAGATCATCACCGATCAGTAGCGATTTGGTAGATGCATTGGGGTAGATGCATTGGGGTAGAAAATACGAGAATATGTTTTCTACTACAAAATCAAAGCTGTTGAAGCATTACTGAATTAATTAATTAATTACCATACGATAATCAGCTTGTGATGAATCATCTTAATGTCTGGGTTATTTGAAATACAGACTGAGATCTAAGGCCCCTGCGTTCACAAAAAGAGAAGAATTAGGTGTCATCACACTGACCCAAGTATAAGCATCTCCGACTGATATAGTACAAATGAATTAAATTACTGTATAATAGCATTGCCTATATAATATAATGCATACAACAAACTCTAGAATAAACGTGATATCATCTATGGAAAGGTTCACAAGCGTAAATACTAATATTTTCATGCAATATGGTTTTTAATGATAATATACTGTATACTCATAATCAACCAGACGGTTCGGGCCAGATAGTTAAACTTATATTAAAATATAAAACTTTAAAAAACTGTTAGAGATATACAAAGATACAGTATCATAGGATTCAATCTTAAATAAAACAAAATTAAAAAAATAATTTATAAATTAAATATCTTTAATTGCATAATTTTTGAATAAGTATTTAATGAAGTGTTAACATTAAATAATGATGAAAATGCCTTTAAAGCAATTAACTCACTCAAACTAAATATAAATTATAAAATAAGTAATAAATTTATACTGTAAGCTTAATATAGTATAATACTTACTAAGAGGAACTTCAACAGAATCGATAGGTTTACTTTGTAAAGGTTCTATTATAGCATAATTAGTTTAAATGAATAAATATATAGCATAATTTTTTGAAATTGCACTTGATATTCTTTGAGTATTTATTATTTTGCTAGTGTACATAGAATCTGGATGTTTTGGTAAGATAATTGGCAATGCTTTGATTATTTCATTTGCATCTAGGAATTGCTTTTTAATTTCATTTGCATCACTTGAATCCTTCATGATTTTATTCCATTCGCAAAGTTTCTCCCAAACCTCATTAGCAGAAGGTCGTTTTTGTGGAACTGAATTCATGCATTGCTTAGCTAATTCAATGTAGCAATTTGGAGTCCCAGGTGCAAATTCAGGTCGCAATCCTCTGCATATATCTAATGAAAGACCAAGATCAAATGAACGACCATCAAAAGGTCTTTGTCCGGTGGACATTTCCGACATAATGACTCCGAAGCCATAAATATTGGCAGTTTTTGTAAACTTCTGTCCCAATAGAATCTCTGGAGCGACATAAGGCAAGACTCCATAAATGCCACCTTCTGGATCATTTTCATCTGTCTTTTTAGACAATCCGAGATCTGAGATGTAAGATTGCAGACTTTTACTAATGCCTTCATGTTGCAAAATATTACCACTGTGAAAGTTCGCATGAATATATCCTGCTCTATGAATTCTCCGTAAATCATAAGAAATATCTTTAAGTAGTTTTAATTTAATTTTCCAGGTAAGGTCTTGAAATTTCATTCTTAAAAACCTATAAAGACTTCCACTATCAGCATATTGAAATACCATCAAGCATTCATTTGTTTCTGTGTTTTGGGTCAATCCATATATCTTAAGTTTACTACCGTATAAATTACATTTCACATGGTTGTTAAACTTTGTAAATTTATAGAAATGAATTAGTACAAAATGTGTTTAATAAACCGTACAATATTTAACTTACTTCTTTCAAAAATTCAAGAGGATTTTCTTTGAAATCAGATAAGGTCTTGAGTGCAACAATGCTAGATGACTCACGTACTCTACCCAAATCATTAATTTTTTGTATACCATCTAACCAGGTCGCAGAAAATACAGAGCTAAATCCTCCTTCGCCAATTTTTTTAATATTATTTAATCTATCAAATGGAATCCATTCAAACATATATTCATATTCATTAGTTCTAAGTTGAAACCCTTTGATGCAGTTATCGATATCCTTATTTCCACTTGTCCATTCTTGAATTGATATGTCAGGATCACATGTTTGACACCATTCCTTCCATGTGTTATATTCATTACATTCTCCGTAACCTGAATTTCTAGAATTATTAATTAATTGTATTATGTATTCTACAATGTTTATGTGACTTTTAAATCGAACACAAATAATTTTATGCTCACCGACTAATTAACACGAATAAAATTTAATAATAAAATTCATAAACTTGAGTAGCTTATTTTAAATGCTTAGATTAATAAATGTTCATTACTAAATTAACACGAATAAAAGTAAATATTAATGAACATGGATAGCTTATTTCAAATGCTTTGATTAATAAATACTCTATATACTCACCCTCTAAATTAACACGAATAAATAAATTAAATAGTAAATAGACTTGAATAGCTTATTTTAAATATTTTGATTAATATATGTTCTTCATACCCACGCACTAATTTAACGCGAATAAAATAAAATTTAAATAGTAATTATTAACGAATTGAAAAGCTTAATTTAAATACTTTGATTAATAAATGATCTTTATACTTACAAACTAAATTAAAGCAAATAAAATAAAAGTTAAATAGTAAATATTAATGA